AAGCACACCATGGAGAAGCAAGGGCTGGTAACCTCGGGGGGAAGATGGGGAGATCCAGGGGCAGTAAAGGATGTGGGACATGCAGAGATGCTGGCGGGGGCTGAGCAAAACGGGCACAAAGAGCCAAAAACTAGGGCAGTGCATGAGAGAGCGTGGGAGACCTTCAGTCCTCCACAACAGCCCTGATACAAAAGGAAAAGATGCTTTGACGGAGGGACGGTGATTAGCAACAAAAGAGAGCCGGGAAGGAGCACATCAGTCAAAGGAGCCGCGAGCAAGGGCGAAGCGAGGGAGGATTTCCATTTCCATTTCCATTTCGTGCCGCCGGTTTCCTCCACTCTGCCGGTTTGGGGAGGCTCTCCCAGCTCCCCACGTGCCTTCGAGAAGGAATTATCTAAACCTACGTTTGTTTCTAGAAGGAACAGTTGCTCCCACGGGAGAAAAGGTGTGGACAGAGGAGTAAAGCAAGGGGAGCATCCTGCCCAGTGTGGAACTCCAGCTCATGGCTTCATAGGTGACCAACGCCTGCACGTCCTCTGCCACCAGTGGGCAAAGCCCTTTGCCCCTCCTCCTTCCCAGAACCAGTGGCTTTGGAGGCACAGGGACAGGTTCAGCCCCACAGGTAAGATGATGGTGACTGCAGGGACTGAGCCTTCCTCCCTCTGAGCCCCTCTGCTCACAGGGAAGGTGCTTCCCCTGCACCAAGGCAGGAAAACGGATGCAAAAAGTTCTCCTTGTCATCCCGCGAGTGAAGGGGGCTTGTGGCATCAAAGGAAAATTAATTGGGCAAGTTTGGTGGTTGAAACAAAGCCGGCTCAGGTGCTGCAGCCCCACTGCTGCCTTTATCTCACCGACACACACCCTGGCAGTGGTGATCCCAGCACAGGGAGAGGGGCCACCGGCAATGCCACCTCTGCCCCCGCCACCCTCTGCCACCCATGCCCACAGCCCCCGGACTCCACCGAGCAGGTAATTAACTCCCAGACAAAGGCAGGGATTTGAAGATTAACCTGGGCTCCGGAAAGAGTGGGAAAACTCATTTACACCAAACAAAAGGGGAGGGGTGATTAGTTGCTTCAGTGACAACAGCAAGAGCCAGATAGGGCCAGGGAAACTGATAAAGAAGCAGGAAAGCACTAATATCCCCCAGTTGCCTGCTTTTTGCCTCTTTTTTTTTTCCCTCCTTCTTTCTTTCTTTTTAAGCACTAAAATTCCACCATTTTCTATCATGCAAATTCGTGTGCCTAAGTGAGATTAAACTCTGGCAGGCGCTGTGCCTCCTTCCCCAAGTCCATTTCCCGCACTGAGATAAGGCCAACTTCCCTTAATGCATCTTACAAGGCAGTGGGAGTGTTTTGCAGACACACATTGGAGACGGCTTATTATCAATACAAATAAGAGCTTTCCAGATATCGGCCTTCTCCTCCTCCCTCCCCTCTCTCTTTTAAACCCAGGAACCCGGAGAATGGCTTAAATAGCTGAGGTGTCCTGCGGGGAGCAGGGAGAAGGGGGAGGCTGTGCCTGAGCTGCTGCAAGAAGTGGGACTTGCTAAGGAAACCAGAGTGGGATGCAAGAGAGGAGAGGAAGAGAAAGCATCACTCCTCGGAGGTCAATGGGGCCTCAACACTATTTCTCACTCTGGGTTTCTGCCTCTGTCCAAGTTCAGAGCTTCTCTATTGCAAGTGGGGCTTCCCTGGATTTTGTCACTTTGGGATTTACATCCACAAACGCCTCACTCTCCACAGGGTCCAAGGCAGACTCCTGCAAACACGAGCAGTGCTGCTTCCCTGTGCTTTGACTGGTCTTATGGCAACTCCTCCTGAGAAGCAATGAGTGCTGAAGGAGTGGGACCACCTTCCAGACCCTGCTGATAACACAGATGCTCCCTGAGCCGCTCATTTTAGGTTTGTCTGGAATCTGGGAGAGAAGATCCAGGTGCTAAGAACCTTCTTGTCCCTTTGGCAGCTCTGTTGTTGGCTCACATCAACTTGGCATCACCAGCCTGACCCCATTTAGAGCAGTCCTTAAAATAGCAGGTCTGAACTTCGATGCATTCAGTGCCAAGGGTCTGTTGTCTCATTCCTGGGCTCATTTGTCCCACATTAGCACAGAGGCACCGACCTGCTATTCCTGGATCAGCAGCAATCACCTCTTCCCTTTTGTACCAGGATTTCAAGACTGACAAGTGTTTCTGAAAGCCTGACCGATGAGGAAAAGTGGGAGAAACAGAGCTTGGATGGTTTCAGAAAGAAGGTGGCTACAGGATAACAACCTTCCCAAAAGCAAAAGGTTATTACAGAGGACACTGATCAATTGTTCCCTCAATCCGCCGGGAATAGGCTGAGAAAAATTCCACTTCATTTGCAACAATGAAGGTTTAAGTTAGATATTAGCTATACATTTTCTAATTATAAAGCCAGCGAAGCAGTAGAATAGATCGTCTGGGGACACTGAAGAACCTGCTTTGTTACAGATTTTCAAGAACAGCTTTCACAAGTGTTTGGCAGCGATGCCTCTGCCTGGTTGCAGGGGGATGGGCTAAATTAGCTCTTGAGGTGCCTTCTACCCACCTCTTTTGGGACCTTGGCCATCAATAGAGCCAACCCAGAAATGGGTGTGCAGCAGTCCGGCCATCCTTGGTTCTGGGTGTTTCCAGCTGATTCTCTCCCACTGCCTTAGGGGACTATTCCCAACCCTCATACCCTAAAGGAAGCTCCTTCTCCTACCCCCTATCCTTCTCCTGTTTTTTGCTCTTTCTCCCATATCACCACTTCCCTCCAGCAGCCCTTGGCCAACACGATGCCCCAGAGCTCCTCACTCCCTCTCTCCATGGCTGTTTCCCAGTGATATCCCCTAAACCTGTGGACAAGGAGGGATGGCCTGAGGGTGCCTGCACTCTGGCTGATATGCACCCAACCTGCCTGCCTGGGGGAGCAGCAGCCTGCTGAAATCCTGGCTGGAAGGGGAAGAGCTCTTTGTCCCCAACAGCCAGTCCCTTTGGAGAGCACAGCCTGCCCCAGGGCACGATTTAATTGCATCCTGAGAGGTGGAGTGCTCCTGCCTCCGGAGCTGTGCCCCCAGGGCCTTTCCTGGTGCAGCAAGTGGAAAGTCAGGACCTGCTTAGAGCAACCTGAACACCTCCCTCTTTCTGGCTGCACCTGGACTAACCCTGTTTAAAAGGGGACATTCCCTTTCCCACCTCCTCTCACCACTTCTCCTTTCCTATCAGGCTGCAGGAAGGGGCAAAATATCCCAGAGCCACGTGCTGAAGTTGGCACATCCCTGAAATCTGGTGTTTAGACACCCTGCTTTCCTGGGACAGGGAACAAGCACCACTTCCCACAAGCTGAATGTCGTTTTGGACAGGATTATTCCAGAATGCATATTTATAGGGCCCATTTTCCAAGGCAGGAGAGCTGATCCTGGCACCCCAGACAAATCTGCATCGAGGTTATTAAGGCAGGTTTCCCTTTAATTGGACATGATATTCACTTTCATGTCCTGCTCTCAGAAAGGGCTGGGTGAGCCAAGCAATAGCTCTTCAAATTAGGGGGCTCGCTCTCCAGAGCCGGAATTTCTCTGGCAGCAATGAGGATGTTCAGCATGTTAAAGGACTAAGCCCATCACTGAATCCTCCTGCACTTAACTGTACCACTGCAAGGAGTTAAGCTCTGACCTTTTCCTCCAGCTCCCAAATATCTCTTCCTAATGATCCAGCAAGACACGGGAGGAATGGACCTGGATGTCTGGTGATATGGGAAATTTAGGTCAGGAAGTGGGAATCAGAAGAGAACAGATAGAAATTGTCCTGCATCACCCCAGCATCTGATAGCAACTTCAGAACTTGTGGGTGATCGACTTTGGCTTAAGAAACTCAGGCAGGTAATAAGAGATTGCAAGATAAACAGCCAGACCCTGGCTGGGAATGCATCCGCTTCCCCTCCGCGGTTAATGGAGATGGAGAAAGTCCAGCTCTGTTTAGTTGGCTTGATTGCCTGAAGAGGAAAGGAAAAATGAAAAGGGAGGGAAGAGGGAAAATAAAGGCCCTGAGTTCGGGTTTTTTCCCCCCTTCTATTCATTAGGCTGTCAATAATGCTCGGGCCTGGCATATCGACGGCGGATTAGCTCAACCCGACTCTGTGTACAAGACCAATGCCTTTTTAACCCAGCTTGTTTCCAAATCAATACACCCATCAGCATTCGAAAATTAGCCCGAGACGAGATTCCAATACTCAAGCTGGTCTGTCATGTTAAGAGGGCTCCTGGCCAAATCACAGAAGAAGCAGCAGGAAAAAAAAAGGTTGCTAGCAAGGGATTAGAAATTTTCCATTAATCTTCCCTGAGGCTAAGAGCTCACCAGGCCCCATCTGTCCCACCAGGAGGTTCCCTGTTGTCCAGCACACATCCTGCCACATGCAGACAGGAGCCATATTCCATCAACATCCATCTGCTTGACCATCACGTGTGGCCACGCTTGTCTGTCCCCTCTCAAGAGCCAGTGTGTGCTCACACACTCAGTGAAGATGCACCCACCTGGCCATCAAAAGTGCTCCACCACCCCGTGCCGGCCTTCCTCCTCCTCCCCCTGCTCCCAAAAGTATGGAATTCCAACACACAAACACATATTGTTGTGGAATACACACACCCCCACAAAGCACACAAATCTGCCAGCTCTCTCTTTTCCCCCAGCACAAGTTCTACTTCAAGCAATGCCTCCAGCGTGGGAAACAAAAAAACCATCAAAATGCAACAACAAAAACAGCAACACGGGTCTGCCAGCAACTGTGTCGAGAGGCAGTGCTGCCTGTGTCAGAGCCCTGGGATCATGCCAGGAAAGCTGGATAAATGCACTGCCCAGCTGCACTGGGACACTCCAAGCCTGTCTGTCAGACTCTACGTTTGCACCAAGTTGTGCAAGTTGTGCCAGGAGACACCTGGGCAAAAGGAACACAAACCAAAGCCCCAAGCCCAACCCCCTGCACGAGTTCCTTCGCTCTTACCTTGCACGATGAGGTGGACGCGCGAGGTCTTGGGGTGATTGTCTGTCTGCACGGAGCAGGTGTAGGGGCCCTCATCGTACACGTCCACATCCTGGATCTGGATGCTGTACTGGGTCTTGGTGTTGGCCAGGAGCACCACCCGAGGGTCCAAGCACCACTTGTCATTGCCAGCATAGAGGATGCTGCTGCGGTTCAGCCAGGCCACTCGGGTGACTCGGTTGTCCACGGAGCACCTGGGGAGAGGGAGAGAGGTGACCCATCCGTGCGCTGCTCCCGGGCGCTCTCCCTCCCTTCCCCAACCCTCCTGGCCCTCTGGGAACTATTTTTAGCTTTGCTGTCAGCAGCAGTTTCAGAGACCGAGTGCTTTCAGTGTCCAAAGAGGACAAGGTCAGCACTTTACCTGCGGTGCTCCATCTAAACTGGCGGCTCCAGAGCTCTGCCCGAGAGCTTCACAGTTTTTTCAGGTGCAGGGAGGTCAGAGCCACCCAGGACCAGCCACCAAAGCATCTTTCACTCCTCTGTTCACATTTACTCCTTTGCAAACACAGACACAACCAGAGCTGAGCCAAACCCTCCACCCTGAGTTCAAAACACACCTATTTTTGGGGGGATGCAGGTTGTTACCTCCTGCCCAAGCCCATCACTTGTCATTCTCTCTGCAGACCTTCACACCCTCGCAGCCAGACAAAGAAATGCAAAGCAATGCCAGGAAAGCAGCTTGTGCTGCTTTACAAAGGAGCAAGGAAAATTTATCTCTGGAGAAAGCCAGCTCTGACACACACCTCTAAAGAGAAACCTTGAGCATCCAACCATTTGTCCCCTCTGTCAGCTCTTCCTTCCCTACCCATCACCTGCATCGCTGCACCTCCCTCCCTGCACCTCACCCCAGCTGAGCATTTCACTTGGGAGGGATGTTTTCGAGGTAGAAATCCTCTATATTCAGTTTTATTAAGCAACTGAGCCCCCCCAGGAGACAACACAGCACAAACCTAGAAGAGACTTTGCTCCTGAGGGAGATTATTTTCCTGTCCACGTTAGCTGGGACCAGTCTTGCTCCTCCCAGAGGTCTCTGCCAGCCCTGTAACCCTCCATCCCCAGATCCCCAAGCAAGGTTTGAACCCCTCATTGCTACGAATCACCTCCAGAGAAGCACCAAGCCCTTCTCTAGGCAGCAGTCACAGCCAGCTAAACCCCTGCTTCTCTTGGAGAAAGTTTGGGATTATGGAGCTGTGCTTTGCTGGATGCCGGCTCCAGAGGATAATGTCCCTGCATAAACCCACTCAGCCTAAAATCCACTCTTTATATTCCTCCCCAAACTACTTCATTACTTGTCCAGTGGCTGGGATGCAAATTAACTTGGGAGGCACTGAAAAAGAGCCCAGCAGCCTCTGGGAGTTCTCCCATGGAGTGACCTCACGGAATGTAAGGGGCTCGATGGGCTCTGCATCCCAGACTGCACTGGCAGGGGAGGGCACAGCCAGGATGGATTTATCTGTGGCATGGAATTGTGTCTTCTTTTCTCTGGGTGAGCTGTCTCCTTACTGGAGGTCCTTACAACCTCCCTCAGGGTTAGAGGATGGGATAGGACAAGAGGAAGTGGCCACAAGTTGCACCAGGGGAGGTTTAGGTTGGATATTAGGGAAAGTTTCTTCACCGAAAGGGTTGTCAAGGCCTGGAACGTGCTGCCCAGGGCAGTGGTGGAGTCACCATCCCTGGAGGGATTTAAAAGTCATATAGATGTGACACTTGGGAACCTGACTTAGTGGAGGACCTGGCAGTGCTGGGGAATGGTTGGGTTGGATGATCTTAGAGGCTTTTTCAACCTTAAAGATCATATAATGGGAGACTTCTGTTCCTGTGTCCACTTCTGATGCCAGGGAAGACACAGGTACCTGCCTAGGGATAAGTTGTTTCATCTTGTTCAGCCTCTTTTTGGAGGTATTTCTGTCCCCAGTGATTGCAGGAAAAGCCCAATTAACCCAGTCAGCCTCAACACACAACATTTGGGGGTTAGGGGTGATGGACCCCCATAAGGACACCTGCCCAAGGTGAGAGGGGTCATCTGCAGCCCAGGACACCCCTGATTTGCCAGTACCCAGTTCCCGTGCCATCCTCCCCCTCTGGTGTGAAAAACATCTGATAAATTAAACAATTTTACTGCTGTTCCATGATGATATTACGATAATAATAAATTAAATGGGAGCAGATTTTTATGATCTACATAAAAAAAAGCAATAGATTCAGCCTGGGCTGAACACCAAGAACTTGGCTCTTGCTCTCAGCTGCATTACAACCTGAGTAAAAAACCTGAGAGTTTAGTTGCTCAAGTTGAATTAAACTAGAAATTTCTTCCCAGAGGATGGGTTTAGTCTATTGAACTCCGAACCTCAGCTCTGCTGGTAGCTCAGACCTATGGGGCACGAATAAAATGAATTGGATATTTGGTGTTTGGCTCTGGTACCATGAAATAGGCTCCTGTGGTGGTTCTTCTGCACAAACACAGGGGTGTCCAGGGCTGGGTGATGACAAACCAGACGTGGCTTGAATTTCTCAGGCCAGTCCCTTCTGCAGACATTACCCTTGAGGACCTGTAAGCAGGCTGAACTAAAACTATATATTTCCTCTCTCCTCCTCCACGCCAGCCTTCTTTATGAAATGCATCAGCTTGGAGATCCTTGGATAATAATGGAGCCAGACAGTGTGCAGTCCAAGCATTCCCTCTATCATATGGGCATTTAAGTGCCTTTGAAAAGCAGCGGGGCTCAGGTAACGCATGAGGCAACAGTGAAATAAGTGCTTTTGCCCTTCACAGCACTCAGGCACAATCTCTGCTTATCACCCAGCCACGCTTCCCTGTCCCTGCCATCGGCGAGCTTCAAGCCACTATTTTATATTCTTCCCTGCCTCTTAAGGCTCCTGAGCCTATATATATATATATATATAATAAAGCACAGAGACAGGTCCTGGGAAAGAATTGCTTTGACCTCTGGCTGTGCTGGGCTGTTTAGGGGGTGGCAGGTTGTGCTCCTGCCCGAGTGCTGTGTTCAACCTGCTCCTCCTCGCACGGGCGCCCGTCGGGATCCCCGTGGCCAAGGCTGGTCACAGCGACCCAGTGCTCTTCCAGCCCCTCCATCTGCTCCCCTTTCCCTCCTCCAGCAGCCCAGCACAGGGATGGGAAGCCCTCCTCTCCCCCACGCAGGCAGCCGAGCGGAAAGCCCTTGGCTTTGGCCGGGAAGCCACGCTCCAGGCACAGGTGGAGAGCAGAGACACCGCTGAGCCCGCGGCCTTCCCCCTTCCCACCCCGCTCCTGGCAAGGTACAAAGTCCCGGGATGCCTCCTCCGCCTCCATGGAAGTTCCCACTTTCCCTCTCACCCCACCACGTGCCAGGGAGGGAGGGAAGGGAGGGAAGGGAGAGGTCCTCGGGGTGCCGGAAAACGGCGCTCGCCTCCAAAAAGATGATCTAAAAACAATTAAGCACAGATGAGGTAATTTTCTCTCTCAAGATCCTTAATCCTTCTTTCATTCCCGCTCAGATGGCAAGGACTTCTCCTCCAGGAAAATGAAAAACTGCTGTGAGCCAGCACAAGGAGGAGCTGATACTGCTCTGGGTACTGCTCCCTCTCTCTGCCGTTTCTTTCCCAGTAAGTCCAGAGCTCCAAGCCTCAGGGCTTCTCCTCTGGGAGATGGAACATGGCTAACTCACCACTGCTGCATCATCCTAGGGGCAGGCAGGGATGGTTGGCAGACAGATGCAGCTCCTCACGCTGCACCAGACCTCTGCCCTCTGCTGCCATGAGGGAAACTCCAAATGACCACAAATTTGGGCATTTTAAGAGTTAAATGCACTGCCAAAAGTCAAGAGCTGCATGTCTACATCCTCCCTACCTGTCCCAACCTGCCTGTTCCTGCCTTTTCCCCACTCTCCCAGCTCAGTGACATGTGGTGGGTGCAAACGGGATACAGGGTAGTGCTGCCCTTTCCAAATCCATCAATATCTCCCACAGCCAAAACTTCTTGGCTTTGGTATCCACCTTCTTTTACGGAGTTGATCCATTAGGGACTGGCTGCTCTCCCCTAAACCATCACCCCCACAGCCTGAGGGGCTGAGGTTGCACAGCCAAAGGGTCCCATGGGTGCAGCCAACAGCCCTGGCTGCAGGGACACCACTCACATTGGAAGAGGGAAAGCAGTGCCATAAGGACTCTGCCACCTCAGGTGACACGAGCACAAAGATGAGCAGGGATGAAAACGCCAACAAAGCCCTTGCTGGGGACGAAACAGCCTCACCATCAAATATCAGGAATAAATAAGCAACAGGGTGCTGAACATGAGAGCCCTGACCACTGATCCCACCCATCCCTCATCCAGCCCCCAGTACCTCCCTGCACCGCCAGCACAGACACAGATGGCACATGCCAGCAGTGACATGCCCTTCTGAATTCCTCTCCTTGCTTTCATGAGTTTGCACACAGCAAATGACGGGAGGGGAGGTAGGCTGGCAGTGGGGGGAAGGAGGTTTTTAATTACTGAAGTGTAGTAATTGGCACACAACACTTTTTTTTTTTGTTGCCTCTTATGCAGATTGCTGGTGTTCCAGAGGGCTGGGCTGGAGAGCACAGATTGTCTCAACCCAGCAGGACACACAAGAAATGAATAATGTTAATTAGAACTGAAAAGAGCTCAGCAAAATTACCAACCTGATTGCTGCTTTCGTTGCAATTATCAGGGTACAAGCTCCATCACAGGGAGGCAAGGATGGGGCTAAGCCTGGCTCACCTCAGCCAATGTGGTGGCCCAACCTGGGCTGTGACCAAGCTGGCCCTCCCTGACCTCACTTCTCCTTCTACCACCACCTAATTTGCACTGCAGAGAAACCCCAGAGAAACCACCTTCCCAAATCCAAGCCACTTGGTGGAGTTTCACAACGACACCGACCCACCATGGAATTCTTTAGGTTGGAAAAGACCTTTAGGACCATTGAGTCCTAATGTCAACCCAGCACTGCCAAATCCACCCTTAAACCACGTTCTCAAGTGCCACATCTACCATCGAGCTACATCAAGCTACTATCCCTAGATGTCTTCTCTTTTTCTTCCCTCTCTAACTCAGCAATTCCCAGACAGTCTGGATCCTGAATCAACCTCTTCCACACCAGCAGTGTTATGTCTCTGCTAAACCAAGCTGGAAGTCAGGAATAAGCTTGGGGTTTAGATTAAAACTGTGTGCAAATCC